TAACGTCTTATGTGAAAAAGATACTCGTACAATATTTGGATATGAGCATGAAGCCGCGGAACATAACTAGTACATAGATATTTCTTAATATTACATCATAATAAACTATCAAGCTGCAACCATGTTAACAAGCTTGGTCAAGAAGTCATCTAATATCGCAGTTCATATTTTTTGCTCAGTAACTGAGTGCGTCTATAAATCTCTGTATCTTATTCTTTCGAGTTATTTGTATCTTATATCTTATTCTTTCGAGTTATTTTCGTTTTCTTCATAATGAACACGTACACATCAATTGATATTTAAAGTGAGTCTCTGTCTGTGTGTGTGTGTGTGTGTGTGTGTGTGTGTGTGTGTGTGTGTGTGTTTATAAGGCGCCAGATGTGTCTGTCGTCGGAACACGTATCACGGAAACGCGTGCTTCCGCACTCCTGGAGCAATTGGAAGTGGTCGGAGGAAAACCTTATACTGTATATGTATACACATGTGTAGGCATACGTTGTATGAACATTTTCCTTTAACAGTAAAAAACGGTTGCTAGTGACGTCACACAGCTTAAGAAAGAATATTATAAGCTTGTAATTGTCTAATTTACTTGTATTTTTTTTTTCATACGTAGTTAATTTAGTACTATTTTCTCAGTTACCTATTGTTAAACATTTTACATTTTTTATATAAATTAGTATTTAGTAGGTAGTGAGAGGTAACCTGTTGAAAGTTGAGTGTCGAAGGTCGGCGTGCGAAGGCTTTGTTCGTTTATCGTCAGCCCGATAAACAGAAGTTCGTCACAAAACCGTCTACGACTCTCACACAAGTGATACAATTTAACAATGACGAAACTATCAATTATGGGAAGTATCGAGATAAGTTTTACCTACATTTTGTAGTAAAATACCTCACTAATTACAACTATTCATACAATAATAATAACTATAATTTGGTTTCCAATAATAAATCTGTTTGGAAACGTTCGATGTTAGATAAAGACATTTATTTACCGAGTTCCCTTTATGAGATCTCTATATTAAAGGAACACATCTTAAACACACATTGAACAGAAACATCAAAGGTGGGAAGGCATCACGAACAAACTGACATGATAACATTCAGACTATATATTATATATAATTAAGTAAATCCAGTCATAAAAACAAACATACTTTTCATGAATTTTCCTTAAAAATAATTAAACATGAATTAATTTTATATATTGTGGATAGAAAATGAAATGTTCAATAAATGAATAAAACATACTTATTAAAATTAATAGTAATTTAAATGTATATTAATGTAACACGCTCATAACATATATCATATTAGTTAATGTTGTATGTAATATATAATTGCTAGCCTTCACTTAAAAGGTATCAGATAGCGCAGTACTTTACAAATATCCTGACTGTGGTTATGGTGTTTGTAGTTCCTAGAACCCGCAGTTAGTTAGTTGTGTAATACAAGGACAGACGGTTAAGGATTATTGGAGCGAAGGTATGAAGTAACGAGACACTAGCCGATGATCATTAATTCACAGATTAATTGATTACGTTCTTGGACCTCAATATTTACACGTTATTAACCCCGACACTAAGAAAGGGAGGTTAGAAGTTTGACGTTCATGTATGTATGTGTGTATCTATCTGTTTGTAGTAACGTAGCTCTAAAACAAATCCTCCGATTTCGATAGAAAAAAGTTTTCTTAGGGATTCTTAACAATGTTAGGATTATCTGTCCAGCAGCAAAATAGTAGAAGCAATTATGGCGTATTATTACCCGATTAAGTGCCTCATACTTACAAAGAAATGATAATAATGAAGTCTTTTTGGGTTTATTTAAAGTTAATTAATATTTCATTTCTAGTAATATTATATTATTGACATTCAGTTTATATTTGTACACGTCTGTAGTGTATTCCCTTTAATACGGCGATTATAGCAACAGAGAGCTATTTGTATACATAATATGTATGACGGTTGGAACACAAAATGTAAACTATTAAACGCGATTTAACCAGAAAAAAAAGTATTAACTATGTATGACTAGTCAACACTTAATAATCTGAGACTTTCGCGAGTATTAATTTAAATGAAACTAATATTGTTCGGATTATAACATACGCATTTTGTATTATTTTAAAAAACTATATACTCTCGACGCTTCGGTTACTTTTGAACCGTGATTACGGGCAGAGGACATGTCTGTGAAGACTTAAGAAATCATTGGTAAAACAACTTGAGTCAATTATACTTTCTGTATGAATTTGTATAATTCTCGCTCGGATTCCAGCAGCTAGCAGTGATTCTAGCGTGTCAAGTGAAAGAGCTCCACAGAAAGTTTACTATCATGCTGAAGCCTGAAGGGTCACTATTTTCTTCAATTCATAGCGGATAACCAGATGACTTAAGACATTGTTACATACTGAACTGTTAAAACCAAGCACGTCACGCTCTCAGTATAAAGAGTATGAGCGTCGGTCCACACATATTACCATACAATGTGTGTTAACGACTCCATCTCCTGACATGAACCTATCTTTTCTATTATTGTGTAAATTAGTATAACATCTCGCTATGCTTGTTACACGCCACATATATTAAATGTATTCAAATTATTTGAAGACCCACACTATATGTCACGGTCCACGTGATTTTTGAAACCGCAAAACGACTGATCTGATCTTAAAAGATATTCATAAATAGTGAGCTTTAAATGAGTAGGCAAAGTACAAATTAAATTATTAGACGATTAAGAGCTACAAAGTTTCAGTAACGCCAGGAAGGGAGATAACAGAAAACATTAATGTTGAATGTTCCCTGTCAGCTCTGTATCGTATTAAGCCAACGCGGAGTCAGCTCAGTTAATTGTGATTCTTTAAGTTTAGTCTCATCGCAGCTGAACACATCAAACACTGAATTAAAGTTAATAAAATGAATAAATAATCTCCTTCAGCTAACTAGGAAGCCTGACGGCTTTTCATTTCCAAACCAAACTTACATTAACTACTTGGAACTGTTCCCGCTTTGCCCACTTTATAACTCAAATACTTAGGATATAAACTCTTAGAAATACTTTATAATGTTAAGATAACAACCACATAGAATAATTTATTATTTGTCAATTTTAAAAAACATAATAAAAAATTATAAAAAATATTGTCAATCCTTCTACGCGTTGCTGACTCACGATTATAGATTATTATCGAAGTAGATATAAAATATACATACATTAGTAGGAAATAGTTAAATGTTGGAAATAACGCGATAATTACAGAAGGTTCTAGAATAAAACATTTAACGTGTTGTAAGGTACAGTTATTATAAACGATGAAGAACTACCACCGTCATCGTCACCGTCCGTTGTTTAATATTCGTCAACCGACTATTGAATTAGCGAAACATATATATAGACAATTAGCGTCCGTCTGTGTGCGTGTGTGTGTGATTGACAAGAAACAGTACTTCACAGGGGTCATTGACCTTCACGTCATATTGGCCTTGCTGAAGTCTCTTTAAACAGCAGAGAAATCATATGTGTGTCTATAGCTATACATACACTCGCATATATACGGCCATTTTGTTTTGTTTGTTTAATGATTTAGTGTCATTATAACATAACAAGGAAATGCTGTTTAAAGAAATATTATGTTCTTAATAAATTATATTAAATGTTTTATCACTTAAATTCGACTACCAGTTACGTGGCATGAAATTATTAATTACTAGCTTTTACCGCGACTTCGTCAGCGTGGAATAGTGACTTCCGGCAGATCTTTGGTTCTTCCCACATAGTTCCCGTTCTTGCGGGGTTTAAGGAATGGTCGAGTTCCCGTAGAATTTTCAGGATAAAACCTATGTTTTTTTATTCACAATAAAGTACTCTTAACCAACAACATATTTATTGTTTATTTGAATAAAGATTATTATTATTATGTTGATACAACTGAAACAAATTATTTCGACCAAATTAGGTACCATAAAAACGGTTTTTGTGAGTTAATCTTAAAAGATAGACATATACTGTCGCGGACAGTTTTTTAGATCATTAAAAGAGCTATTATTCTTTAATACATATTTTTTGTGTATATTGAACCGTTGTCACGGCGCACGCAACGAAAGGCTTCAAAGATGAAATAATTTCTCCCGTTTTTTACACATTTACCACTATATCTTTGCTCCTATTGGTCGTACCGTGATGTTATATAGCCTACAGCCTTCCTCGATAACTGGACTATCCAATACAAAAAGAATTATTCAAATCGAACCAGTAGTTTCGGAGATTAGCGCTTTCAAACAAACAAACAAACAAACAAACAAACAAACTCTTCAGCTTTATAATATTAGTATAGATGTTTAAATAGCTCATTATTTTACGGTTCGTATCGGTACATATGTAGGTGAAAGTTGAATTGATATATAGACATTCCACTGCCATTAAATATAATCTTTTGTTCTATAAGTATTTGTGTAACAATAGGTTTTATAATGACTGCTACCTCTCTTGTATTCCTCTCCAATATTTCATTCGTCCAGGGTCTACACGTGCTGTTAGTTCGATTTATTGAAGATTCAAACATTCTTTACGATGTAATGCCCCTTTTTCTAACCTTTTTACCTTTAATAGTTCCACCCGGGTCGTCAGGGTTTTGTATATAATATATTCTAAGAGGAATTTATCTGTTTCACTAAAAAAAACTTCCTTACTTTGTGTTATACAACTTGCCAAAACAACATCCGTTTATTTAAACGTTCGACGTTGTTTTTGTAATGTTATTTTAATATACCTATGTATAAACTGATAGATGTAAAATTTTCCACACAATATAATATATTTGGGTAAGATTTCTACGAAACGACATGATACTAAACCAAACGCGGTCAACTCGTTAATTAACTTTCAATATTATTTGTTTTTTAAGTTAGTTCATATCGAATAAAAGTATACTTTGTTCTTGAATGTGTATTATACATATATAATTCCATGTGTTAATGATGACCCCGTCCCAGTACGTATTCTCCGGCGTCTGCTCTGTGGAGGTGCTCGTGTCGACTAACTTATTGCAGGCCATTGATTTAGGTTCCAGCTGTTTCCGTCTTCCTCGTACATTCTCTATATTAATGTCTATTAATTTATTTAGTATTAGGTGATTGATGACTGCTATATAACTTAATTCATAGTGGACCTTCTCAACCCATATATATACGTATATATATGTACTAGCTTTTGCCGCGACTTCGTCCGCATGGAATAGTGACTTCCGGCATATTTTTGGTTCTTCCCACATAGTTCCCGTTCTTGCGGGGTTTTCGGAATGGTCGAGTACCCGTAGAATTTTCAGGATAAAACCTATGTTTTTTTTTATTCACAATGAAGTACTCTTAACCAACAACATATTTATTTGTTTATTTGAATAAAGATTAATATTATTATGTTGATACAACTTAAACAAATTATTCCGACCAAATTAGGTACCATAAAAACGGTTTTTGTGAGTTAATCTTAAAAGATAGACATATACTGTCGCGGACTGTTTTTAGATCATTAAAAGAGCTATTATTCTTTAATACATATTTTTTGTGTATCTTGAACCGTTTTCACGGCGCACGCAACGGAAGGCTTCAAAGATGAAATAATTTCTCCCGTTTTTTACACATTTATCACTATATCTTTGCTCCTATTGGTCGTAGCATGATGTTATATAGCCTACAGCCTTCCTCGATAACTGGACTATCCAACACAAAAAGAATTATTTAATTCGAACCAGTAGTTTCGGAGATTAGCGCTTTCAAACAAACAAACAAACAAACTCTTCAGCTTTATAATATTAGTATAGATAATATTCTTGTATTATTGTTACTAAGACATAGCCTATACTATCAATCCACATAATCTCTATTTCATTTACCCCATCAATGAAGTCAACGACTGCTATTAATGACGCTTCCCATATTATAAATTAACATTTCAAATTTTAGGATTACGGTCCCGATAACGTAAATGGCGCAGCCGATTGGATCTCACCGTTATTTTGTGTTAAATCCCTTCAAGTATCTGATAAATGGAGATCTCGGATAGTCCTCATCTGATGCGGCTGTAAAAAGAGAAACCGATTTATTGAGTGACACTTTTTATTTAAATAGAACTAACTCATTACCGATTCTCAAATGATACCCGTATTTAACATCTCTCATTCTTTATGTTGTGTATCCTTCATCATACTAATGATAGTTCAGAGCGACTCTCTAACAAACAATCAAACCATTCCAAATCTTTTAAGACGTCGGTCGCTGGGATTAGTTCTCAATAGGCTATGAACCGCAAGATGTTCCGAATTAATAATGACCTTGGGATTGTCTTTTAATCGTATTACCGTCTGCCCCGCTATCTGGCCCGGCCATAAACCGCAGCCGGACCCAGGACTGCCCCCCCCTCCCTCCTGACCCTGCTGCCCTTCCCCCGGTCGTTACGACCCCTACATTTTTCGGGTTCCGGACAATCTTTTGTCGCATATTGTCTCCGGCCAGGCTTTACAAAATATCAGCCCTTTTTTGTGAACAGATTTTGTTAAATGATAATGAGCTGTCGCTCTTCCTGTATCATGTTATTACTTTAAATTTTAAAATGTATTATTAATTATATTTTGTATTTCAACCTCAGTGTCCATTAGGAGGTTTGACATGAGTGTCCAGATGTTTAAGTATAACATGTTTTCTCGCCTTCTCAATATATAATCCTTCCTTCCTCAATATATTTTTATGTTGAGTGCGATACTCCTGTTTCACATCACTGTGTCTTCGATACACACGCACATATCTAGGTAGGTTAGCTGTTTTATGTCATTAAATAATGAATACTAAACATTAGTCTTCAAACGTAATCCGGATTGTGAGTTGTGATCGAGATACGAGTCTGAGAGCATTTCAATCATCGTCGTATTAAGGCTGGGCACGGCATCAAACACAGCTGCCTAATGGAATCGAGGGGCTGTCGTCGCTCAAATATCAATGTTATAATGAAAATATCGCCGAAAGGCTGCATAATGGTGTCAATTAGGTATAAATATAAGTGTATCGCACAGTTTGACATATATAGTTATGCTGGCGTATCTTGTACTAGTACACAATACGGACCCACTGTTATTGTGTTATACACTCAATGTGTACTCCATTAAGGCTGGTTTCAGTTTGTTCTGAGCGAGTAACAGATTAGGCGCTTTTGAGAGTAGATAGTACGTAGTGGTCGTGGTTACCTCTAGATATTCCAATCACGGACACACGATTTAATTACATTGATACTGCCGCAAGAGCTATGTTCAGACGATCGGAATTATTCTCAAAAATAAAATTATCATTAAGTATAGAGTTAAGAAAGTAATGGAAAATATACAGTTCATGCGAATTTTTCGGTATAAAATTAATATTAATACAATAAGAAAAGTATCTACAGACTAGTACTATCTTGTTGGTAAGAATTTCTCTAAGGTTTTATATTGTATCATTCGTTATTATTTCAATGTTAAATGCTATTTGAGTGTTATCCTTATTCCTTATCGTGGGCCTGTCTCCAACAAACCCGAGGCCAGAGATGAAGGTGCCTGTGTCCGCGCTCGTTAAACAATAATACCAACATATAACTGTTCTGAATGGTCGGTCTACTTACAACCTGTTCACGGTCTCTCACTGGACACTGTTAGGGAGTTGGATTGTATTGAACTTTATGAATCTTACAAGAAGTAAAACTTTTGATTATCATTTAATATTATAATATGTATATGTATGTACAAAATGGAAGTTAATCTAATAGTTTTGTAAACATTGTTGAAGTACCGCTAGCTATTTTTAAAGTTTTTCGGTTGTATGTACAGTTGAAAGCAAAAATCACATAAATGTGGAGGCCGGTCCCAACACGAGAGGGACGCTCGATTCATCTGAATATTTTTTGTTAAATGTGTAGCTTTTATTAAATTTTCACCTTTTAATATTTTTATGAGCTGTGACACTAATAAAACGTTTTACGGTCATCAAATGTGTTACAAATGTCAGCGTCACTGGTTAACAATTATAACAAGTGACGTCATAAAGGCTGTGCTGGCGGCCGGCCAGGCAGCGACAGCCGTACGTTACATTGATGAGAGGAGCCTTCTCAGGTGGGATAGGACCGCGTGTGTGACGTCCCCGGAACAAACAACTTGATGTATTACAACCGTTCTGTGCTATTCACAATGTACATTGTGTTTGTAATTTCCATTAAACTCACAAAAAATAGCGATTAATATTCCTTATTGTGTCAAAATGTTTTCGCTTATAATCAGTGTAAAGGTTGCTTCAAACAGAAATATTGCAACTCGACCATATTTAATTATTTCATTTCTATTCCGTTTCTCGTAACTATTTATTTAAGCTCTCGCGTGAAGAAAAATGTATGAAAGGAAACACTTTCACCTGTACAATATTGCTGGGATTTGTGACAAATATGTCTATTCAGAGATGCGAGGATGATCCTCATAAGAAGCGTCGTTCCACAGTCAGTGACGCGGCGCTAATGACGTATTCGGTGTCCTTGTTGAGATAAGGACTAAATCGCTTCTACTCTGTGTGGCTTACAAACAATACGCTGACTGCGAGCGTTTTGATTTCTGCGCCAGCTTCTATATAAAACCCATAACGTTTCTTTAATCACCTCCTCACACTATAATCTGTGACTCCGATGCCAATTGTTCTTCGTTCTCTGTCACTCTGTAGCACGAAGAAGGAGATGGTGTGAGCGTTCTCTGCATGGCTGCGCGTGCGCCGCGGACCGTTACCTTAGACGGGACGCACAAGTCAATGGTGAACACGGAATATAACAATACTTGTACGGTACAACTGGCTCACTGTGAATATTAATTATTATCGTTCAGTGAAATCATTTACAGTCATTCAAGGCAAATAAAATGGAACATTAACGTCCAAACTTTGTCCCATCTTAGAGAGTGTTTCTCTCGTTTTACATTGTTTTTTTGAGCTAACTACTGTTACTTCACTTTTATTATGAGAATGTTTATATCTACATCCCCGGGCGGTGTTGTAGGTAGTGTACATAAGCGTGTAGTCCTCGTGTCAGTATAAGTCCCTGATGTTCGTTCTCGCCGTCTCTCGTAACTTGTCCCAAAGGTCAAGTAACCGTTAGCGGTTGTTCCTTAGCTCGTGGGTCGCTGTGTGTTTGTTACTGTATCTGGGTTACCGATCATAGAACACCTCGATTCGCTTTTAAACTTTTTTTACTAATTCAAAAGAACTCTAACAAATACGTTTATCATATTATATCTGGCGATAAAAAAAAGTTTAAATAATATGTCAGAGCACTTAACTTTTTATTAGGTGACATTTTGTTTTTTTTTATTTTTTTATGTTTTAAATATTAATATTCCAACATCATTAATAATAAACTTTCTAATATATTTCCATATCCCTACTAATATTATAAATGCGAAAGTAACTCTGTCTGTCTGTCTGTCTGTCTGTCTGTCTGTCTGTCTGCTACGCTTTCACGCCTAAACCACTGAACTGATTTTAATGAAATTCGGTACAGAGATAGAGTTGACCTTGAGAAAGAACATAGGATAGTTTTTATCCCAGACTTTTGAAAGGTTCTCTTGGAAACGCGATATAACCGAACTCCACGCGGCGAAGCTGCGGGCGGAAAGCTAGTTTGTTATAATTTTAGACAAACTCCATTTAATGCCGGACCTCACTGCTTGAACCGGTCTGAAGTGTGTCATCGCGGGTAATGAATATGTGGCAGAAATATTAAAATTTATACTTGAAAATAAAATATAAAATGACAGAAAATATATATTGTTCGGGCCCATATTTATCGATTAACACAATGTATTTTAATTTATTAATAATTAAATTTTAACGAAATTTAATATATTCTTTATTCAATATTATCTATATATTTATTTCCTTAAATACTTTTTTATTAAGTATCTAGCCTGACATGAATATCAATTTTTGAGCCTTAAATCAGTCTGTCAGTGTTTGTTACCATCTTAATTTCGGTAGGAGTGAGTGTAAGAGCAGCTAATGAACTTTGAGGTTCCTAAACTCATCAGCGGTACAACATATGACGAAAACAATTAGTGAGTGATAGGTCATCAAGATGAAAACATACGTACATGTATACGACCATTAAAAACATTTAGTTACAGATATTATTATGAAAAATAATATTATAAACTTTGGATATCAACAAATAAATTAATTACATTTACTTAATATTTTTTTTTATAGAAAAAATTGTTTTGTTAATTACGGGGTTTATCCAACTCATAAAGTCATTTAGATAACAACCATTCGTAATGATGTTCAAATTATTGATAACTTGGTAATAAAATTTATAAATTTGAACATAAAACAAAAATTAAGTAGGTACTATTATATTAGTTTATCGAAATTATTGATTCTTTAAATCATCAAACCAATGTTTTAGTATATCTGCGTTCCGTTTTAAGACAGTTCATTTGTGTTAAACAAAGTAAAGTTGTATTCGTCATATTTTAACTATGAATATTTAATTAATGATTATATCTGTTTGTCGTCTCGTCCACAACAAAGACGTTCTGTTTGCTCAAATCTCACGTAGATGTCGTTCCGATATCACAGTACGTGACTTATTTTGCTGCTTTATATAAAATAACTGTTTTAATGTTAACACAACATAATAACTAATAACTATGGCATTTTATTTTACTATTTATTCTAATATATTTTACTTCCCTTGTTTTGGTCACGATTTTATATGATAGATTATTTGTATTATTGTAATAATACTCCATAGTAAGAAATTTTAGGAAATACTTTTATTTTCACAAAAATAAATCATGAAGTCATCAGTTTTAAGTTTATTTTTAATAACATCTGTCAAAATCTCTGTGACTGTAATGTTTCATACTATACGAAAACAAGAACAAAAAACATCAAAATTAAAAGTAATTTTTGAATATAATAATTAATATAAATGAAGGTAATTTATATTGTATGTTTAACGCTTTGTCACCGCCGAGCTCTAATTACCATTTTAATGAAGAGAGATATGAAGTCATCGATACAGATCAAACAAAAGAAAGATGTGTGACTTATACTGCGACCTTACCGACACGATCATGTCATGTGTACTATCATATCATTAAAACTATGTCGTATAATTTATTGTTAATCGATACCTCACTAAGTGTTGGAATATTTCAGATGTCATTGTGTAGTTTTTTGTTGTATTCCACGGGCAATTACAGCGAAGCGAGCAATCAGCGTCATCCTTTGAATCTCCCGCGCTAATTGACGTGTTCACAAGCGACGGACCTGTGTTTGTTTATGATTTAAAAAATATATACGTCATGGACGTGTCACTACTTTGGTTATTTCATTTTTATGAAATAGGGCGCGTAATAAAGGCTGTTTAAAAGAGCAGATCCTCGGGTATCCTGAAATATAATAAGGGGAATGATCCTCACGGTCAACTTTAATTTATATCTGTTAGACAACAGTGGAATACACTCGAAATTATACATAACCAAATATGTTAAGACTTTCACCAAACGCTGATAAATTATTAAAGTTTCCAGAACAGCAATATAGCGGGCTGTCAACAAATCATACTAAATACGTCGTACTTTATCTCAATGAGAACGTTTGGTACAGCTGAGAACGGTGGCTGTTAGGACACGAGCACACGACTCACGACACTGTACCATCACCAATATCCCCACTAATATTATAAATGCGAAAGGAACTCTGTCTGTCTGTCTGTTACTCTTTCACGCCTAAACCACTGAACTGATTTTAATGAAATTTGGTACAGAGATAGAGTTGACATTGAGAAAGAACATAGGATAGTTTTTATCCCAGACTTTTGAAAGGTTCTCTTGGAAACTCGATATAACCGAACTACACGCGGGCGAAGCTGTGGGCGGAAAGCTAGGACTATATAATAAAATCAATTTATGGAATAAAGACGGAAATAATATCACCATATATCTGGTGGTATATCAATATTTTTTCTTTCTATGTAAGTATCTCTACCCGTGTGATATCTTTGTGTACTATTCCTAATGTAATGATAACAAAGGGAAGCAATTATTGTCGGCGACATTACCACCGGCACAATGCCGCTAACCGCGCGTGTGTTGTGATAACGGCGGCTGACAGAAATCACGAGCAAAAGTGTTGCCATCATCAACTACGACCAGAAACTGACACATATTATTATGTTTGTATATTTTTTAACGGTAGCTCCAATTAAATTTTTGAACTAGCTTCAATTAGAGTATAGTAAAAAAATACCTACTGAATTATTGCCCTTTTCTAAATGAATTGATGATTATTTCTTTAATATATATTACACGTAAGTATGGATCGTAAATCTTATTTAAAAACTGAAAAAAAAAACGCTTCGAATCGTTAAGGGCATTTAAATTTAACATAGCATTAATTTTGTTTGCCACATTTTTGTTTCCGACTCTTATAAGTTCTTGGAGTAAAAAAGATCTTCTTCACTGCCCATGTGTTGTGACAGCATTATAATTAATTTAAACCAAACAGATTATTCACATTTAAAAAATAAGTGGGATGAAATGAAAAATTTATAAAAATATCTATATTTTGAACATTTAAGCAACGCTAAGTGAAATACTTCAATTAAAATTATATGCGTTTTAACTCTAATAAATAAAAGAGCATTTATTAAGTCGAATCCTCTTCATGTTTCATAAAATACTACGAAAAAGAATCCTTTGAATAAAATGTACAGTGAGCAAATAAACCACAAGTGTACAACAACAAATAAATTGTAGAGCACATGTTGCGGCGACCGTGCGTTCATATTATATTGAGGGAGGTGGAGATATTATAAATAAAATAATTAATAATGGAAGCGAGTTTAAAATAATGTACGGATATTGTGAATACTTTATCTGTTTTATAGTTGGCATCTAGTATCCAGATTCATGTAACAATACACAGGTCGACTGAAATAATCTTGGTGATATTTCTATTTAAAAGAAAAAATACCATTAAGAACGATCGAGACTTCTTTTATCTTAACCAAGAAACATTCTATTATTGATCTTCCTTATAAAGTTTGGCTCCTAGGCGAATTACCGACGAACGAATTGCGTTAAAAACTATAAAACATAATTACTGAGACTAAATAATTTTATAGTAATATATAGTTATAAATAGTACTCGACTGGTCCAGTGTGTGTGTGTGAAGCTGTTCGTTTCTTTGTCTCCCGTCTTGTGTAATCTGAATTCATTGCAGCATTATTTCCGATCAATTTAACTTCGGACCCGCTCGCTCCATAACTGACTATCCGCTCTTAATTCCTCTGACAATACGTCGGTTCCTTAACAACATGAGTTTAATATGAATATATCAAATTAATTTTACACTGTAATATTAAATTCCGATGTAGTTCTGACCGGACGGTAATGTCGGTAATCGGTGCCCAACGACGAGCACTTGTCGTGTAATCTGATTACCAAATTAACCGGTTTCGGTTATATGTACAGTATTACCGATTTATCTAGAGACCTGATATTCTAAATTGTGTCACTTATGTATTTATTTGAAGCGTTATACTCAATAATTTTAATATATAACTGTATTTAAATTAAACATTAATTCGTGTGTAAATTTAATCCAAATGTTTATTATCCAACTAGTATTCCATATTCAGCTTGGTTTCAATACGAGTTATAAAATATATGGATTTAATACAGTTTTATGTTCCCCGTA